ATTATTTCTAAAAAAATTAAAATTATTTAAAATTATAGCGTCAGAAAACAAATATTTGAAATTCGTTTGATTTGATTATGATTTTTCAATAAGTTTTCACAATTTAATTTCTTAATTTTTTTATTATAAAGTCGGTAGTTTAAGTTCAATTTCTACGCACTTTCGCAGTTTTGCGTACGATTATATTGAGGGTTCTGAAGGGGTTGGTCCTAATCCCATTTGCCAGCCCCCATTTTGACATCAATCCCATAGTCCCAGCCGATGTCTTGTTCAAATCTCAATCCCATTCCCATTTTGTGATCGCTCTTTCGTTGGTTGCGAATCCCATTCACAGTGCATATAAAGATCCCATTTTCCCACCCCCCAAAAGGCGAATCCCAGCTCCCATTTTACCCCCCTCCCCTAAAAAAAATTAAAAATTAAGAAAACGGGACATCTATCATATGCTAAAAATGGAGATTGAAGAGTGTGAGAACACATTGAAATCCATATGATCTTAGTAAAGTGTAGAACTGAAATGATACGATATTTCTAGGTATGGTAAAATCTCCCTTATGCTGTCTGCTGTTTCTTGCGTTCTTCCATGGCTCGACGAGAGGCAGCCGCCTTAGCAATCCTCTTATTGGCTCCCTTGCCTGTGAATCTACCCCACGAAACCTCCAATTCACATTCGATCTTACCATCATCCAGTACCCGGGCCTCACTGAGAACGAAAGAAGGAAGGAACATTAGTAATGACCACAGGGAGCAAAGGATTGTGGCTGCCTCTTCCCCAGTCGTCTCTCGCTTGTTTTCATCGAAGCGCGCAAAGGGTCAAGGGAAGGTAAGAAAGAAGCCCGCTTCCCTTTACCCTTTGCGCGCGCTCTTAAAATAAGAGACGACTGGGAACGAGTCAGGGATTGTGGGGCTTAATTTGGGGATGCAACTTCAATTATTCAATATTTTATCAATTCTCTATTTGAAACAACCTCTGGGCTTTCTATCAATATCTGGACTTAACTAACTCACTCACAGATCAGGCTGAAACAACCTCTGGGCTGATCTAAGCCAGGGCACGGCTAACTCACACATTGAACCCTGAAACAACCTCTGGGCTGATCTAAGTCAGGGCATGGCTAACTTACAGATCAAACCCTGAAACAACCTCTGTGCTGATCTAAGTCAGGGCACGGCTAACTAACAGATCAAACCCTGAAACAACCTCTGAGCTGATCTAAGTCAGGGCACGGTTAACTCTAAGATCAAAGCATGAAACAACCTCTGGGCTGATCAAAGTCAGAGCATGGCTAACTCACAGATCGAACCCTGAAACAACCTCTGGGCTGATCTAAGTCAGGGCATGGCTAACTCACAGATCAAACCCTGAAACAACCTCTGGG